TATATATATATAATATGAAATTATAGAAAATAATATATATATAATAAAAATATTATAAATATTAATTATTATAATTCTTAAATTTTTAAATATTATATAAAAATATTTATATATATAATTTTTTATTTTTATAAAATATTTTTTTCTCAAAATCGAGCTCGAGCTTATGAATTTTTACTCGAGCCGAGCTCGAGCTCAAGGTTCTGGCTCGAACTGAGCTCGAGCCTTGTAGAACAGTCTCAAGCCGAGCTCAAGCTTGATACTATTCGGCTCGGCTCGGCTCGATTCCACCCCTAGTTTTGGATTTTTCTTTATTTTGCTTCATGTCTTAATTTATTTCACCTGCAATCAAATGCCATCATTATCTATCGGAGGCCAAGCTTATTGAGGCCAGTTTGAGTTCGAGTAGGTTCTTACTCAGAGGTTTGTCTTTTGTTTTGCTTTGTTCTTTCATTTTTTTTTTCTGATGCCGAGCTCATTTTGCATGTGTAATGGACTTAGAGAGGACTTGTGGTGGGCACCTGTTTCACGGCATGAAGAGGAGGAAGCGAGTCGCCAAACAAACTCGTGTCGAGCTGCCCTGAGACGCGGAGCCCGAGGTACCAGACTACCCATTTGTGGATCCGCCCAGGGAGCCCGAGATGGCCCCTCCAGTACATGAAGTGGCAGAGGCCCCTTATGTCGAGGCTACTTACACGGGGGCTCCCGCTTACTCTGAGTCTGCTTACACGCGAGCTGGGCCCTCAGGCTCGGGGGCCCAAGGCGAGTTCAGGAGCATGTTGTCACCGAACCACGCTCTTCAGAAGAGTAGGGAGGCCATCTATCCTGAGGAGGTCGTGGCATGGACCAAGCTTCCTTTGAACCAGGTAGCTTGTCGTGCTGCCACTCATGTCATGGTGGTAAGTCAGATTTCTTGTCGGGCTCTTTGCTTCTATCTTTCTTGCTGTCGTTCTTTTGATCATTTGTTCTTTCCTTTTGGTAGGTGAATTTTTCTATCCATGCCTTGGCGGCCCAAGTGGAAAGGAGCTCGAGGCAGGCGCGAGCTGCCGAAGAGGCTTTCCGTGCTGCCGAGGCCGCTTCCCGAGCTGCTGAGGCGGCTGCACAGGCCAGGCAGGCGAGGTCTCAGAGAAATGCCGAGGCCATGGGAGTTGTGGTGAAGCATATGGCAGACCTGAGGCTGGATTTGCAGCATCAGGTTGAATACCTTCAAGAGGATATCAGGAAGAAGACACAGATCTTTTCTCAAGGCATTGAGGATGCCAGGAAGAAGGCCGTTGATGAATACATCGTCTCGCCGCGCTTTGATGACCTGATGGTGGACTCGTACAAAAATGGCTTTAAACTAAGCCGGTGGATGATCCGGAATACGTATCCCGAGCTTGATATTAGTGCAATATCCACTTCGCGCATTACTCAGGAGATGGCCGACGCCGCTGATGGTGAGCTGGATTCTGAGGGCGAGGCAGGACCTTCGGGTGTCGTTGAAGTGCCTTCTGATGATGAAGAAGTACCTCCGGGCCTGTGAGCTCGACATGTTTTTTTTTTTTTGGAAATGTACACTCCCTTATTTTGGAATTGAATGACTTTCTTTTGGTTAAGTGTTGGTTGTTCTTTCTCTCGAACTGACTGTATTTGCCGAACTGACCATATGCCTGATCTGTTTTTTGCCCGGGTTACTGCACTCGCACGGCCTGTTTTGGTGTTAATACTTAGCTCTGAGATGCCGATGCCCCTATTAGTTCGTTGTCAACACTTCGCCTGAGCCTTTGGTTGGCACTTTTTTCCTTTGCTTGCCTATGCCGAGGTTTCTTCGTTAGCTCGGTATCCTAGCCCTTAGGCTCTGGTAGCRACTTTGTCCACTTYGCTTGGTGGTCTATAGGTAGTATCGCCTTAAGTTGACGACGTTCCATGCTCGGGGTACTTGTTTGCCCTCTAAGGTTTCGAGCTTGTATGCCCCCCCGAGCTCTCTCTTTACTCTGTAGGGCCCTTCCCAATTTGGTCCAAGTTTGCCCACGCCGGGTTCGGGTGC